TCCTGAGGTCTAAGCATTAAGGGTCCCCTGGTGAGCATTGTCGGGAAAGCCAGCCCAGACCCCAGCATTCCACCAGGACTTTAAGCTGTGGTTTGAAAACTCAAACACTCCAGGTCCTGGGGTGCTGTCCTAATGAATGGAGTCACAGCTGTGGCCCTCTTAACCTGTTCCTTTCTCACTTTGGAGGGACATGGATTGACAGAGAGGATGTCTCTGTTGGAAGTAAAACATCAATGCAGATGCCGTGATAAATGCTGCCTAGTATTGGAGAGACCAGAGGGAGACTGGGCCCCGCCCTTCTCCCAACTGAGGCCCGCTGTTCCTGCTGGGATGAGAGCCCCAGGTGACCTACCACCCCAGGGAGCAGGTGCTGTCAGGCCCCGCCTCTATCTCACACATTTCACTGGAAATTTGCGCTGTGATCTGGAAACTTTCAACCACTTGTATCTTCCTTCCTCTCTGGGCCTGACATCTTTTTTCAGAATTCTGGAATGTTGTTCTGCCAGCAGGGCAAGTGCTGGGGAATTAATACTTCCGAGGAACAACCTTCAGCCAAAGACTGACAGGTCTTCTTTTTCTTTTTTTTTTTACTGGCATAGGTAAATTTTAATATATACTTGGCATTTTCTAGATCCTGATAATTTAACAACTCTGAGATTTTTACCAATATAATGTATAATTCTTTTTTTAAGTATAAATATGAACAACTTTTTAAAATTTAATTTTATTTATTTACTTTTTATACAGTAGGTTCTTATTAGTTATCTTTTTTTTTTTTTTTGCGGTACACGGGCCTCTCACTGTTGTGGCCTCTCCCGTTGCGAAGCACAGGCTCCGGACGCACAGGCCCAGCGGCCATGGCTCACGGGCCCAGCCGCTCCGCAGCATGTGGGATCCTCCCGGACCGGGGCACGAACCCATGTTCCCTGCATTGGCAGGCGGACTCTCAACCACTGCGCCACCAGGGAAGCCCTAGTTATCTATTTTATACATATTACTGTATCTATGTCAATCCCAATCTCCTAATTCATCCCACCACCACCACCCCGCCCCCTGCTTCCCCCCTTGGTGTCCATACATTTGTTCTCTACATCTGTGTCTCTATTTCTGCCCTGCAAACCAGTTCATCTGTATCATTTTTCTAGATTCCACATATATGCATTAATATACAATATTTGTTTTTCTCTTTCTGACTTACTTCACTCTGTATGACAGTCTCTAGGTCCATCCACGTCTCTACAAATGACCCAGTTTTGTTCCTTTTTATGGCTGAGCAATATTCCATTGTATATATGTGCCACATTTTCTTTATCCATTTGTCTGTCGATGGGCATTTAGGTTGCTTCCATGACCTGGCTATTGTAAATAGTGCTGCAATGAACATTGGGGTGCATGTGTCTTTTTGAATTATGTTTTTTTTTTCTGGGTATATGCCCTGTAGTATGCTGGGTCATATGATAATTCTATTTTTAGTTTTTTAAGGAACCTCCATACTGGTCTCCATAGTGGCTGTGTCAATTTACATTCCCACCAACAGTGCAAGAGGGTTCCCTTTCCTCCACACCCTCTCCAGCATTTGTTGTTTGTAGAGTTTCTAATGATGCCCATTCTAACTGGTGTGAGGTGATACCTCATTGTAGTTTTGATTTGCATTTCTTTAATGATTAGTGATGTTGAGCAGCTTTTCATGTGCTTCTTGGCCATCTGTATGTCGTCTTTGGAGAAATGTCTGTTTAGGTCTCCTGCCCATTTTTGGATTGGGTTGTTTGTTTTTTTGATATTGAGCTGCATGAGCTGTTTATATATTTTGGAGATTAATCCTTTGTCCGTGGATGCGTTTGCAAATATTTTCTCCCATTCTGACGGTTGTCTTTTGGTCTTGTTTATGGTTTCCTTTGCTGTGCAAAAGCTTTGAAGTTTCATTAGGTCCCATTTGTTTATTTTTGTTTTTATTTCCATTGCTCTGGGAGGTGGGGACTGACAGGTCTTTGATGTAGGAATACTCTTGGGCTCCCTCACCTCACCCCTCATCTCAGATCATTCCAAGGTTCAAGCTTTATGCACTTCCTGGAGGCGTTCAGCTCCAGTTGTCCAAGGTGGCAGCTGGCTCAACCCTGCACCCTTGGCTGGCTGTCTCCTCCCCTCTTCCCCTCCTCCCCTGCCAGGCTGTCTGCAGCTCCCACATAAACCATTTGCTCTCAAATCTTTGTCTCAGCATCAGCTTGTGGCGTAATTCAAACCAAGTGACCCAGTTTTCAAGAGGAAGCAGAAATCTGGTTTTTATATAAAATCCCTTAATTTTAAAGTGGTGGCCAGTTGTTAAAAAGAAAAGCAGACCATGCATGGACCACACATCCACAGGGTAGATTTGGTCCATGGCCAGTGCTGTGCAGGGCTATGTGTGTACCTGGGCCTGGCCTGACCCTGACATCCCTTAAATGCTTCGGCATCATGGCTTTGGCTATTCTCATGGGTGCTCTTTCCAGCAGCTTGGCTTTATTCTTCCCCTGCATCTCATGAGAATGTCCCCTCCTAGCTGTCACTCTCTGTTCCCCCCTCCCTCCCACCGTCCCTCCCTCCGTCCCTCCCTTCCTTCCTTCCTTCCTCCCTTCCTTCCTTCCTTCCTTCCTTCCCTCTTTCTCTTATTCTGATTTTCTTGAGGAAGCCCCTCCTGCTGAGTCTTTACTACTTGCTTGCTCTTCTAATAAACTGCACAGCAGCATTTAGCAAGGGGTTTACTAGCTACTAGGGGATTACATCTCCAGGGAACCCATTTACTGTTGGTAACCTTTGTCCGGCTGTTTCAGAAATGACTCCTTTAAGAATGACCCCAAGCTCTAGTTTCTCAGATCAATAGTGTCCTGTGGTGTTTATGCCTGGCCTGGTTCTCCAGGGTCTCCACTCTCTGTGGGGGTCAACACATCTTTTGGGTAATGCCGCAGAGGCCCTGCAGGTGTGGGTTGATTTGAGGACACGAAGGGTTTCAAGCGACTGGGAGGTTTTATGACAGCTGCATGGATGCCTTGGAGCTGTGAACTCTGACCCATAGTGACCCTGAGGCTGCTACTCCCCACACAGGCTGACTCTTGCCCCTGGCCTGCAGCTCAGTGAGAATGATGTGAAAGTGGGATGGGGCCCTGAAACCCTGGGCTTTTTCTCCCCAGCCACTTCACCTACCACCTTATTGTCTGCTTACCATGGCTTTTAGTCTTACACTTGCAGGTATCTGGTAGGTACACATTGTTCTATAGAATGCCAAAGTCTTGAAAATCTTGTTCGGCAAACAAAAAAAGTTTTCATGGTAAAAGAATTCCACCCATAAAATTTGTTATGAGTGAATCCTTGTAAGCTGGGTCAGACAGAGGAAAGCAGGGCTTCTAAGAGCCTTTAATGCACTAATGTGCACTATGACTTCTTAAGAGAGGTTAGGTGACAACAGTTCCTCCAAAAACACTTGGGGCACTGCTACAGACTCTAGGACCTGGCAGTGCGGGGCCTGGCAGGGCTCCGTGAGCAAGTGGCACAAGTCCAAGGCCTCTCTCTGCTGGTGATCAAACTGCCTGCAGGGATGGAGCCAGCTGACTGCCCCTCCGAGACCCCATGGGGTGTTCGGCTTCTTTCCAGGGTGGATAACTTGGGGTGTAGTGCAGGAAGATTCAGGAACCCTAAGAGGTCTGGGAGTGAAAGGAGGCTCAGCCTAGGCTGGTGGCTGAGGGGGCCAGTGCGTGGGGACGTCACTAGTCTCTGCTCTATGATTAGGGCAATTTGATTCTCCAGGTGGCCATTTGTGGTAGGAAACACAGCCTAGAAATTAAACTAAATATATCCAGTCCCCAGCAGATTGGACACAGCAATGGCACCTGGCTGGGGACGGGGTGGCCGAGGTTCCACCCAGGTCGGGATGTCATTGTGCTGACTCCTATATTTTAAGGGTTGGGAGGGAAATGTTTTGAGCTTCCAAGACCTGGCCTGGGTGGAATGACAGAGATACAGGTTTGAGTTTTGGGGAAAAGGTCTCATTTCCTCATATCATGCTTCACTCTGTCACCCCTTCACTCCAGGGACCGTTGTCCCCAGTGCTCAGCTCTTCTCTGCCTCCTCATGGCTGCTGCAGTTCCTACTTCCCGTCTGTCCCCAAACCCACAAAGCTCCACCAGCTTTGTCTTCCTGTGTTCCAAAAGGAACCCTCGCCCTTTTCCCTGAGGAAATGCCCATTCCCTCCAGGTGGCTGTTAGGAAACAAAAGCGTGGAAATTTAATTTGCACTAAGTTGATATGACTGATACAGCAATGTAATTGCATTAAATTTCTTAGTTGAAAGGGTTCTTGGCAATCTCAGGTGATTTTTGAGATTTTGTTGAAGGCCAAATGAAATCTTAAGTACTCTTTCAACATGTGAAGTGAATGAACGCACAGTTGCTCCGAGTGAGAGCATTGCCTGCCCTTTCAGCTGACTTCAATCCATCCCTAAAGGGACTTTTTTGGAACAATGGTTATCAACTACTAATTACACCTTTCATTCTAACGGAAACTGGGGTACAGATTAAGGGAAGTGACTTGCCCAAGGTCACAGGGCCAGAGAGTGGCAAGGCTGGGACTTGTCCCCAGGTCCCCTGACCTTTAGCTAATGTTCTTGTACCTTCCCGACAATGATGAGGTATTTCGCTCTCAGACCTCATCCTTGTAGCCAACTCCAAACAGTTATCACCAGCTCTGCCATTCTGGTAAAAGAATATTCATCACACCCTCTGCACTTATCCGTGCTTCCCTTGTGCCTTTCACCCCTGAAGAGTAGGCAGTTTTTCTGACCTGCTTCATGCTGGAAGTTACCCCTTTCCTACTGCTGCTAATTTTTTTCCCTGTTACTTTTTTTTTTTTCCTATTCCCCTCCCCACTCCAGCTTTATTGAGATATAATTGACGTACAAATTTTCCTGTTAAATTTTTACAACCCAGTTGCTACTGAGAATAAACGCAAAAAAGAGGGCAGAGACATTTCAGATTCTGCTCATTGCGCGTTTTCATTTTTAATTAAATAAATCAAGTAAGCCATCAGGTGATGGGTTCACATTCTGTTCTGCAGAGAAGATCCTGACTGGTGGTGGCCACCAGCTGTCTGAAGGCAGCCCCTGTGTTTCCAGGAGATTGTAGCCACAAGAACATCTGGGACATTGACGGCAAGGGGGCTGGGAGCAACATGGCCAAGCAGGCTGAGCTACATGCTACACATACACACGTGTGGACACATATGTACATACCATGGCCACGTATGGCCATGAAGGGGTATCCTGTACTATGCACCCATGAAACATGACAGGGGGCCAAAATTCTTGGCAAAAAGAGTTTGCAGGAACCAGGAGGGAGCAGGGGAGCCAGGCAGACTTGGCCTAGAAAGTACAGATGAAAGGGAGACTTTAGGGGGTGACCAGTTCGAGCCCAATGACAGAAGAAGCAAGGAACATAGGCCATTTTATTTGACAAATAAATACAAATAAAATACCTGGTCTACAGTATGAGCTAGGCCCTGAGGATGGTACCATGTAATCTTGGAAACACATAACTAACTAGTCCCCCATGCACAGTATGGAATGACAAAGGTCACAAGACCCTAGGATCTTGAAGTTCTTAAGACATCTGAGCTGCCAACTCTGCTTCATCCTTTTGAGGTAAAGAGCAGCTTCCACTCTTCTGAAACCATGGGCAGTTGAAAGGCCATGTGGCTACATTCAGGAAACCCTGGGCCGCCTCCCTACCTTCTAGCTGGACCATGTGCTAGGAATCTTCACAGGCAAACTCATTAACTTTGGAACTCAGAGGACGCTCCTTCTTTAAATTTGTGCAGACTAACAAGATCCACGTCTTGGAGCTCGTCAGACTGCACAAGTTTAAAGAAGGAGCATCCTCTGCAGGCATCTGTTCCCCCACCCCACTCTCCCTGCCTCAGGAACCCACCCCTCTGAGACCCACCTTTGCTTTCAGCCTTTGGGGATGGGAGTGGGAGAGGACTGCCTTGGGGACACAGCCATCCAGTCTTCTGCCCCTGTCCTTCATAATCCAGGGCCTCTGAAGGGATAGGCCTCATAGTCAATTAACACAGAACCAGGGCTGGAAGAGACCTTCAGGGTCAGGACCAGACCATCTGATGCTTACATCTCCTGTCTGCTCTCTAGGCCAAGCATACATCTTCTGGGACAGGGACCTCCTGGAGCTTGTTCAGAAAGCAGAGGTGGAAGGGAAAGATGTTCTTGTAATGGGTCGGTTGGGTCCTCTGCTCTTAAGGGTTTGGTTAGCAGCTGCCCCATTAGACCAGCCTCTGGCATAGCTCCCAGGCTGAGGGTGCTGGCAGGCAAACATTTTTTTCCCCTGTTCATTTGGTTACTTATTTTCAAGTGAGTGCATCACATAAAGGGACAGAGGGCTAGAATTTGCTTATGTCTCTCAACCTTAATAATAAGTTGGTGATAACCTGCAAGGGCCATGCTACAGAGATCTGCTGCTTCTTTTTCCCTCTTCATGGGACTCAGGAATCCTGCCCCCGCAAAATCCTGCTCCCAAAGACCCTTCCCCCCATGTCCTCATCCACTCCAAGGTTTATAAACAAGGCCCAGAGGAGAAGCCAGGAATGGGCAGCAGTGGCGACAGCCTGAGGGTGTTGCACACTGCCCTGTCTCACCAAGGCCTGGAATGTTCTGAACTATTTTTATAGGCTGGGCTAAAGAGGTCTTCATGAAGAAAAAGAAAAACGAATAAACGCTCATTGCTGAATGAGCCTCTTGTTCCCAGGAAGCTGGCGGTGGGCGGAGGTGAGGCCTCAACACTCCCTCTGTCTCCAGGCAGGTGGGTGCTGTGGAGGTGAAGGCTCGTGGGGGGCCAGAGGGAGCAGAGAAACCAGGGCTGGCCTCGCTGGAAGAGGAGGCACTAGCTCCCAGCTGGACCACCTCCCCTAGCCCAGCTCCCTGCTGAAAACCCCTCACACGTTACTCCAACCAGGTCCCATGGAGTGTAGAGTCAGTAGTCATCCCTCCCTCTCCTCCCTAAACCCCAAGGGTTCCCAGAGCATTGCTAAGCCCAAGGCAACACTCTCTTGAGGTGTGTCCTATTTCAGATACCTGGACAAAGGTAATATAGCAGAAAGGGCCTTACTGTCATATCTTCAAATCAACAAGAGGAAACCGAGCTAAAATAATACCCTGCGGCCATCGTGACTCCCATGCTCAGTTTTGTCCTCTCGTGTATTCTGAATCGTCTTGGAGTGTCCTTGTATGTATGAAGTGAACGGTTTCTATTATTATCGTCTTTTTTGATTTGGGTACAGCTTTGAGTCCCTGCAAAAAATAAAATATTTTCTGTCTCTTCTTTTTCACAAAATAAATAAATTAAGTCAACCTGCAGCGTACAAATTGATAATGTCCTGAGAAGTCCCAAAGGTCCATTCTCGGCAAAGTCCTCAGAGCTCAGGGGTGGAGGCCTTGGCCCCAGAGGCACAGTAAGGGAAGAAGGAAGAAGTCTTCAGTCCACACTAGGAGGGCCCCAGGAACCAGAAAGGGCCTTGGATAGAGGTGCCTGCCTCCCACCACCCCCAGGTGGGGAACAGTGGAGGGAGCAGGGCAAGGGCTGGGGAAGAATGGCCAGTACTTCTGGGCCTGCCAGAATCATCCTGGCCCCACTCTGCCCCAGGATCAAGTTTTCAGAGCTGGAGTCCCTTTGGACCCCAAATTAGAGCCATTTCCCAGCACAATTTATTCTTGGAACAGAAAACCTAGAGACTTCCTCGATTGGCTGAATCCATGGTGATGGAGACCCAGCAGCTCAAACGCACTGACTGTAATGGATCCCACAAGATGGCCACTGTCCTCACCTTTTCAAAGCCTGGCTTCCTGCCAGGACACCCCCCCCCTTCCCTATGGCAACACTAGCTGGACCCAGATCCTGTATTTCCCTGCTCCCCATAATACTCAAAACAAAACTCAGCCCTCTGGGCTTGACAATGAGACGGATCTAATACAGAGGTTGTCCAGGAAATCAGAAATAGCCCTTAGTGAACTGCTGATGCTTCCTGCAAGTTCTGAGGTGGTACTGAGTGCTGCTCCCTAGTTTGGGGTGGGAATGGGGAAATGCTTCCACTCTGGGGACATCTGCTTGGTCATAGGACCCTGACGCCCCAGGAAATATGTTAGGACCTGGGAGAGATGTTCAAATCTGGCCTCTTCTTGGGGAGGGGGTGAGGATTGCTAATTTATGCTGTCTCTGGACACTCAGCAAAGAACGCCACTGGTTTCTGACATTTGTTCCACGTTGGATCAAACAAAAAAGCCCATGGGGCGCTGTGGGCTGCCATGTGGCCACCTTGGCTCTGGTTCTTCTGGGGGAAGGCTCCTCCTCCTCTTCCTCCAGCAGGAGCCAAAGTGCTCCCCACTGGTCTTCCTGGCCCCCCTCAGCCCCTCAAGCCCACAATGCTTCCAAGCAGCACTCCTGTAGAAACAAACCTGAAAACACAGCCACAAGAGACCAAACCATAAATAACTTAAAAAAAAATAAAACATGCACCCCATCCCACATTGAGCAATACTCTTCCCAGAGCCCTAAATAAGGAATTCCAGACACTAACCACATAACCATGACGACCAACCATGTGGCTGACCTCTGTCCCTGTCTTCTCGGGGGACGGGGTATCCTGATGTGACTTCTCCCTTAGGAGCACTCTGTATTTCCTTCTGTGCCTTGCCCCACAGCGGCCTGGCCGGAAAGGACTCATGAGCTGCCTTTTGCCTCCAGGGACCACTGATGCTCCTGCCAGTCAGGCTTGAGGCCGCTTTCAAATATGGACCTGCTCTCGGGGAGCCAATTGAGCTAGGACAGGGTCTTCGGGCTGCAATCACACGAGGGTCAGCCATGCCATTTCAAACCGTGCTGCCTGCTAGCAGCAAGGACACGAATGGGTCAGGGGAGGTAGCCCGAGAATCTAAGGTGGGCAGAGGCCGTGGACTTGGCAGTTCTGTATCCACCGTTCAGCCTCGAGCTTGGATGGGGAACAGGGTCATGGCCCATGACCGTATATCATTCCCCCCTCCCCGAATAACTCTAAAAGGTAAGCAGAGGCTTTTCTTTAGGTGTGTGATACAGATAAAGCATAAGGCAACGGGGAAGGTTTTTTCTGTGTGTGTGTTTGTGTTTTTATGTTCTTCTGCCTCTCTGTGTGGTGTGAGTGTAGGTATTTGTCTTTATATGTGTATGTTTGTTTTGTAGCTCTATATAGAGCTGATTTCACCTCTCCCCAGGGACCCACCCAGATGCCACACTGGATTATGGAGAAATTCGGAAACTGAAAGGTTGACACTGAGTACAGCAGGGGGTCTGACTGTGACTAGTTAGTGTCTGAAACCCCTTCTGGTTGTTAAATATTTGTGGACTCTGACCCACAGGGTCTACAGGCACCTATGTGTGTTTCATGTATATTTCTGTGTGTGTGTGTGTGTGTGTGTGTGTGTGTGTGTGTGTGTGTGTGTGTGTGTGTGTGTGTGTGTGAGAGAGAGAGAGAGAGAGAGAGAGAGAGAGAGAGAGAGAGAGAAACAGAGACAGAGAGACACAGAGAGAGAGAGGGAGAGAGAGGCGAGAAAGGCTTGTCAATAGGCTCGGGCCTGCCTGGGCCTGCTCAGGACACCACAGCCCCTTAGGTCTGGGTTTGCAGCCCTCAAAAGGACTGGCCACTGTCCTGTTCTCAGCGGGAAGCTCCAGGCCCACAGCTAGGGCGGGAAGCGAGCGGGCTGAGGGCCTACTTCTACAGCGCAGGCGCCACCTACGCCCTGCACGTCTTCCTGCCCACCCCCGCGGCGGCGCGGCAGTCTCCCAGCTGGCCTGGGTGAGGCAGGCAAGGCGGGGCTTTCACCAGGAGGGGTGCTCGACGCCCCGGGTCCCCTACGTGACCCAGAAGGTGCCGCGCTCCTCCAGCAGGCTGACGGAGCGGTTGGAGAGCGAGGCGGCGTCCTGCACAGGCTTGTAGCCAAAGAGGCGCATGGCGGGGCCGCAGGCAGCCTGTACCACCTGCGCTAGCTTGAAGGGCATGCTGAAGCGCCACTTCTCAAACTGCTCCGAGGAGTTCTTCTGCGTGGAGTAGATGCCGTCGTGCGCCGCCTGGGTGTTCTTCTGGATCCAGTCCTCCACCTGCGGGGTCAGGGGAATGCCTGCAAAGCGGTACATCTCCTGGGCCTTCTGCAGCGGCCTGAGGGCCACGTCCTCGTAGCGCACCAGCATGTAACGGCCCCGCAGCCAGGCCGGCTGCCTCAGGCCCAGCTCAGCGGACAGGCGGATGCTCTCACAGTTGCCCTTCAGCCGCAGCACCTCCTCCTCCCTCAGCTGGTCCTGTCCCTTGGCCAGCCAGTTCTTCCAGGTCTCGTACTTGTCGGCGAAGGCCACCATGCGGGAGGCTAGCACAGCGCGGGGGTCGCGCACGAGCTGGATGACGCGGAGGTCCAGACGGGGGTCCTCGGCCAGCGGCTGCAGGAACTCCAGCTGCCGTATGCGGACGGCCTTGATTGCCATGTGCTCCTTGCGGCGGCAGGCCTCGGAGGCCAGCGTCATGTTGAGGAGGCCGCAGCGGCGGTTCTTGCAGGGGTACTTCTCGAATACCTTCTTGACGAGGGGCGTGCAGACGGGGTCCTCGCAGAGGGAGCGGCTGGAGCCCCGGCGGAACACGAACTGGGTCAGGTGGTCCTCGGGTGCCGGGATGATGAAATGCTCCAGGAGGTACAGGTCGCACAGGAAAAGCTGCTTGAGCACGTCGCGGTATACCAGGGCCGAGCCTGCGGCGTTGGCGCCGCCCTGCTCGAAAGACACCGTGCGCTCGATGTGCCACAGCGGCTCGAAGAGGTAGAAGATGTTGCCCTGCTGATTGAAGAACTCGCCCACAAACGAGGAGCCCGTGCGCGTGGTGGCCATGAGGAGCAAGTGGCGCCGGGGCGGGGCCTCGGCGGGTGGGCGGGACTCCTGCTCCCACTCTGTGGTCTCCTCCTCAGCCTCCTCTGCCGGCGCCACGCCTAGCTGCAGACTGAGGTTTCGCAGGCGGCTCTGCAGCTGCGTGAAGGCCGAATCCAGCTCACTCAGGGACAGGAGGGATGCGTTCTCGGCCAAGACTAGGGCTGGGTCGGTGCTATTGGCATCTGCCGGGGATTGGGGGATCTGCTTCAGTTTGTCCGAGACCCTGTGAGAACAGAGGGATACCGGGGTCAATGACTGACTGGGGACTCCATCCCCTGTGCCACCCTGAGGAGCATCCCAGGATAATCACCCAGAAGCCAACTCTGAGGCAAGGATTTGAGTGTAAGTAGTTTATTTGGGACTTGATCACAGGAAGAACGGGTAGAGGGGTAGGGAAGTGAGGCAGGGAGGAAAGGAAGTCCATAAGGGTGAGCAGGCTACCCCTGTGGCCAAATCGCTCTGCCGGAGGAACCCCAGGAGACGGTGTAGATAGAACACACCTCAGGATTCTCTACCCAAGGGGTGTGAAGCTCCCAGTTGGCCTTGACTGAGGGCTGCTCCCAGAGGCATTTACTCCCCAGGACTTGTGGCTTGCCAGTGTGCAGGTGGAGAGAATGCCCTCAGGTGGAGAGTTGCAGGATCTTGCAATAGGACCCAGTAGGCACAAACTGGAGCAGTCCATGCTAAGGAACCCAGGCAGGGCACTGACATAGTGCCTACTACATAGCCCTATTCCTAACCTACCCATCCTGGTTGATGCTTTCTTGCAGGGGTTGTGCTTGGGAGAGAAGGTCTGTGAAATCTTTCTATGTCTTTCTATAGCAGGCCCACTAGCAGGGCCACTGCACACAGCCGTATACTGCCAACTCTAGGGGGCAGCATTCCCAGCGTAGCTGTTGTGAGTGCACACCCCTGGAGTTGAACAGTGCACAACCTGGGCAGCTGAACATGGCAGCCCTGCCCACCACGGTATCTGTACCAGGACCCTGCCTTACCCTCATCCATGACTTCAGATTGGTATAGGAGATATGCTGTTAATGTGAGGCATCATCCTAGGCCAGGAAGTTAATTAATAATAATAACCACAGCCAGCAAGTACAGGACACCAACTGTGTGTCAGGCACAGGGCTAAACGCTTTTACATTTTCTTATTTAATCTTTACAACAAGGCAGGCCCCATTATTAGTCACATTTTACAGAAGAGAGACTTAAGAGAGAAAAGTGAAATAATTTGTCTAAGCTGTCACAGCTAGAAAGGGCCAGAATCAGGGGAATTCCCTGGTGGTCCAGTAGTTAGGACTCCATACTTCCACTGCAGGGGTCATGGGTTCAATCCCTGGTGGGGGGACTAAGATCCTGAAAGATGTGCGCTGCGGCCAAAAAAAGTGCCAGAATCAGGATTCCAACTCAGACTGCCTGAGTCTGGAGCCCAAGTCTCACAGCTGTGCGGTCATGAGGACATGGGCATGACCTACTGCCTGGGCACAGGAGAGGTCTGATGATTACTGGTTGAGGGATTGCCTTTGTAGGTCCACAGACAGCCCTATAAGCTACCTCTCTGCCCCCACCCACCCCACCTTGGCAGGGAAGACTTGGGCTTGCATCCCTCACCTTGATATGATTTTATTTTCCTTTTCAATGAAGACAAAAACCACCACCACAAAAGCAAGGAAAAGGGCATATTTGCTCCTCATTCTCAGGCTGTGCAGAAAGTGTCGGCAGTCCTGGGGCAGAGTGAGTCCTTTCTCCATGGGGAAGGGTAGGGCCATGGGCACTCAGCTTGGGGACATCACTCAGGACCTGGCTCGTTGTTCAGGTGGGGGACACCTGGTCCTGTGGAGAGATGAGCGGTCAGGACACCCTTGTCTGTAGATGAGAACAAACAGGAGCTTTTCCACCAGACTTTTGGGGACCACAGCCCTGTTTTGTCAGAACCCCAGACCCACTCTCCCAATGGACTATGCCCCAGAGACTTGAAATGAGGTCATTCAAAATACCAACGAACCTTCTGATTCGTCCATGTCACTTCCAGCAGTTTATGCTTTGACTTCACACATGACTGAAAGGCAAGTGTATGAAAAGAATACTCCTTGCAGTAAACATGTTTGCAATAGCCAAAGAGTGAAAACATCTAAATAAAATATGCTGGAGCAAGCAGTGGATTATTATGCAGCCACGAAGAATAATGAGGTGGATCTACTAATGCTGACGTGAATAATCTACTATATATTGGGTTGGCCAGAAAGTTCGCTCAGGATTTTCCGTAAGATGTTACAGAAAAACCCAAACGAACTTTTTGGCCAACCCAATATGTTATAATTTTATATATAAATAATGTGTATATATTATACATAAGCAAGCTGCAGACATAGTGTGTTTATATAGGCTAGGGTTTCTTAGCGTCAGCACTATTGGCTTTTAAAACAATTTTATTGGAGTGTAGTTGATTTACAATGTTGTTAGTTTCTGCTGTACAGCAGAGTGAATCAGTTATACGTATACATATATCCCCTCTTTTTAAGATTCTTTTTCCATATAGGTCATTACAGAGTTCCCTGTGCTATACAGTATGTCCTTATTAGTTATCTACTTTATATATAGTAGTGTGTATATGTCAATCCCAATCTCCCAATTTATGCCCCCGCTTTCCCCCTTGGTAACCATAAGTTTGTTTTCTACATCTGTGACTCTATTTCTGTTTTGTAAATAAGTTCATTTGTGCCTTTTTTTGATATTCCACATATAATCAATTTCATATGATATTTGTCTTTCTCTGACTTACTTCACTCAGTATGACAGTCTAGGTCCATCCATGTTGCTGCAAATGGCATTATTTCGTTCTTTTTTATGTCAGCACTAATAACATTTTAGATCAGATCATTCTTTGTTGTGGGGATTGTCCTGTGCATTGTAGGATGTTTAACAGCATCCTTGGCCTCTACTCATTAGATAACAGTAGAATCCCCTTTGCTCAGATGTGACAATCAAAAATATCTCCAGACGTTGTCTAATGTCCTCTGGGCAGGGGGGAGGTACAAAATCATCCCAGGTTACGAACCTCTGATGTAGTATGATCCCATTTGAAAAAAAAAAATTAAGGGAGAGAAAAGTGGACTGTGACCACAGGCATACACAAGGCCTGTAACAAAGGGACGGGTAGGTCAGGAGAGAAGGGTGGGGTGAGTCTTAGTGTTTGCTGTGTAACATTGTGCACTATTAGAAATTTTACCATGCAGGTGTATAATTTTTGTTTTTGTTTTTTTTTGGCTGCGTTGGGTCTTCGTTGCTGCGCGCGGGCTTTCTCTAGTTGCGATGAGCGGGGGCTACTCTTCGTTGTGGTGCATGGGCTTCTCATTGCAGCGGCTTCTCTTGTTGCAGAGCACAGGCTCTAGGCATGCGGGCTTCAGTAGTTGTGGCTCACGGGTTCTAGAGCGCAGGCTCAGTAGTTGTGGTACATGGGCTTAGCTGCTCCGCAGCATGTGGGATCTTCCCGGACCAGGGATTGAGCCCGTGTCCCCTGCATTGGCAGGCGGATTCTTAACCATTGTGCTACCAGGGAAGTCCCGGATGTATAAATTTTTAAAAATTAACTAAAGGTTTTCCACCATAGCATGTGAATTCTAACAAAATCCTTCACATGGCCTCGGCCTTCGGGTCTCAGCTTCGTGGGGCAGCTTCCCCGGGATAGGTTAGGGCCTCCTCCGCCCGCCACAGTACAAAGACTCTCTTTAGCACCTGAGACTTTGTCATAAAGCAGGCCCACTTGTAATGACTTGTTCAGTGCTGATCATCCCTTTGGGGAGGGCGGGGAGTTTGTCTGGCTCCCTCATTATCCCTTAGCACTGGGCCAGGCACACAGGAGACACTCATGCACGGCTGCTAAATGACAGAATGGTTAAAGGAATAAATGACTCTTAGCGGAAAGTGTATATATTTTTTAAAGCTGGAGTAAAAACACCATTGCCCAGTGGAGCCTGAATCACCATTTCTTTCACTCGTCCTCACCATCACACACACACACACACTGTCCCATACCACAAGCCGCAAGATTCCAGCACAACCCCCTCTTCCAAAAGTCTACCCCTTTCTCCACAAGGACCCTCATCCATGGGAGACAGTCTGCTCCAAGTTTGGAAAAATCTTATTGTGACCTTGTGCAGGACATCCAGGACCATCCTTCTTTCTGGGAATAATGAATTTCTTCCAAGCTGATGACATGGGGGAGTGGGAGGGCAGAAAGGAGGGTCCCAGGGCTGCACCTTCATCACACAATGGAAGTGGCTTTAGGGACAGCCAGAAAATCTACCCTCTGGAGAAAGCAGGAGGCTTGTCAGAAGACAGATGTGTACCCTGGCAGCTGGAGTGGAGCTCCTCAGCTGTGCAGGGCGGAGTGGTGGTGGGGCAGTGGGCAGCTCTCCCTGGCAGAATGCTGGGGTGCTTTGTGAGTGTGGGTAGTTGGAGGGGAGCCAGGAGGGAAGAGGGCCGCAAGGCCATTTCAAGGGCAACTGAATAGTTTTGCCTCTTCCTAATTCTTCTGGGCCATTTCCTATGCACTCATTAAACAGAAATTTTCTGAGCACCTCCTATGTGCCATTCTAGGCACTGGCAATACAGCAGTGAACAAGCAGACCCAGCCCATACCCTCATGGGGCTTACACTCTGGTTGAAAGAGTCAACTAGAAGGATATGGGTAGATGAAATTTATTGAAATTTATAAAGTTACTACTCTATGCCTGGTGTCACGCTAAGCACTTGATTTGCATTTCCTCATTTCACAAAAGCCCTATTAGGTAGCGACCAGCCCATTTTACAGATGAGGAAACTGAGGTTGAGAGAGATTAATTAATTTGCCCAAGGTTCCTCCAGCAGCAGCCTGATCACCCCTCTCAGATCGACGTCATTCCAGCCTCTTGATGTTCCACAGTGACACCCCCCCCCACCCCCGCCATAGCACATGTGGTTGGGCTTTCCAGCTGATGGTCTGTCTTTCTCCCATTCCCAGACTGCAAGTTCTCTGAAGTCAGGACCAGCGTCTAGAATGGCATCCACCACATATCAGCTGCCCAGCAAATCACTGGTGAGTCAACCCGTTGAAGCTGGTGCCTGGAAGGCTGTCAGCATTCGTTTGCAGAATGCCGGGCAGGGCCATGTTCCCCATGCACCCAGTTTAGCCTGTGGTGGGATGCGAGGCCACCTATCCTGCTGGGAGGGTGAGCCCCCGTACTGAGTCTGCAGAGCACAAAGGGTTGAAATCCTGGCTTTCTTCTCTCTCGGCTCTCAGCTGAGAGTTGCCTGGATCTGATGATGTGATGGAAGCAGAAGGAGCTAGGACCAAAAGTCCTGGACTCTTGTCCTTTCTGCATGTCTACCATGCTGTGTAGCATTGTATAAGTGACTTAACCTCTCTGGGCCTCACTTTCTTCACTGGTAGCATGGAAAGGGTGGTTACTGTGAGGAGCAGTATCTGGTACATGGGAGAGGGAGAAAAGGCAGGTGTGGCCCAGGGGGAGTTGCGTTCACTGTCTTCTCTCTTTTGGGTCTAACATCTTTGGTAAGATTTACAACTTTGGCTGCCTCGATGACAAAGATCCTGAACCTTCTCCTCCCCTCCCTTCCGGGCACTGTTTCTATTTTTGAGTCGCTGTCCCAGCCCCCTCACCCCCCGAATAATACCAGATTCCTGAGAACCTTCACGACATTGCCCTAAAAGGAAGATGCAAGGGTGAAAACTCCCTCCAAATGAAACCGCAGGCAGGCTGTTGGCTCCTTTGCCCTGCCCAGGCAGGCTACCCCTAGGGTTAGCTTTGGCAGGCCAGCAGGCAAGTGGGCAGGCAGGCGAGAGAGGTTTAGACCCGGGGGTAGCAGAGGGTCACAGATGCCAGGAGGTCATGGGTCATGAGGGACGAGGACAGGGCTGGGATGGGGGTCACTCAGGTAGAACCTGGCCTGCAGGAGGCCCTTTGCAAGAAGTGTGTCTGTGATATCTGTGACACTGGACAAAACTACCTCCCTCCCCAAACCCGTGGTGCCCCCCTTGCTTAGCTCATGGGAAGAATGAAAAATCTCTTCCTTTACTTGACGGATGCCGTCTCCCAGGGGAGTACTTGATACCTTCCCTCCCCCCAACACCAGCAAAAGGAAATTGTGACAGCCAAAGGAAAAGGTGGCACGTCCCTGCTGGGATGCCAGTGGAGGTCATATTTCCAGGGCACCAGGGGCAGGTGCCAGCCCAGCTCTGCCTGGAGGCAGTGGGGAGTGGGGCAGCCGTCCTGGGCCCAGTTATACTCAGTACTCAGCTCAAATGTCCCCTCCTCCGGAGTCCTTCCCTGACCACTGACCTAAAGTTGACCATCTCCCCTCTCCCTATCATGTTCCCTCTCAGCACCCTGCTTTACTTCCTTCCAGGATGGAAGTGTACTTGTTTGCTGCCTATTTCAGTCACTGGAGTGTGAGCTCTCTGAGGGGAGAGCTCTCTGTCTGCTTCATCCTTGTATGCCCAGTGCCCTGCTCTATGTGCACCAGGCATAGTAGGTGTCTCATAATTTTCGTAGAATGAATAGATGGATGCCTTTTCCAAAGCACTTAGCCCACTGTGAGATGCTTAATCATTCTAAGTTGATGGCAAATACAAAGAGGAAGAAGAAAAAGCCATTGTTCCCTGAGTGAAGCATATGTGTGCGCTGTGACCTGTGCTGCGGGTATGCACTGATTATATGTCCTGAGTGTGTACTACAAGCGTGGGCTGAGCGGGTACTACACGTATATACTACATGTGTGTGCTACATGTGTGTACTATGGGCAAACCTTGGCACTTGGGGCTTCACATACATCAGTCTCTTGAATTATATCAATCAATTATATCAATC